ACCGCCACCAACAACCACCTCCACCGCCTCTAGAAACCATCACCACCAAACATACCAACAACGAACAAACCACATCATCAACTACAAAACCATCATCGCTGCCACCTGCACCCCGACACGATAACCACCTACAACAAAAAATGACGACAATCTGGTTAAGTAAGGAATCAGGATTGGAGATATCACATTGGATGTGACTTCATTAGAGGGATATACACAGAATGCAGATTTTAGCTGAATCCTCTAGTATTCATTAATATTTTCTTTCACTTTCTTCGAAAGATCCTATAACTATTCAGTAGCAATATTTTGCTATACTAGAGGGGATTTCATTCTCATTTAGCTTTATATAATGAATAGCAGCAGTAACTGTAAACTAGGTTAAATAAAATCCGAAGTATCCAGATATTTTTCTTAACGAAAATTCATCTGAAATCAAATCCCAAAAACCCTAAATTGTAATAGCTGTTCTCACGATTAAACAGAAAAATAGTGATATATTCCAATATACTAATATTCATGCTCAATCGCCGCCAGCCTTATTGTATACATAGGTGAGGCCACACTTACCACAATAGTGACGATCAAAATGGTTAGCCATAAAAGTTCCGGCGCCACATTCAGCATTTGGGCACTCCTTACGCAGTCTCTGTACCTTGCCAGAATCCTCAACCTTGTAGAACTGGAGTGCGGCTAGCTTTACCTTCTTCTTCTTGTGCTTAATCTTCTTAGGCTTGGTGTAAGTCTTCTTCTTGCGCTTCTTGGCGCCACCGCGGAGACGGAGGACGAGGTGGAGGGTAGATTCCTTCTAGATATTGTAGTCGGCGAGTGTACGACCGTCTTCAAGCTGTTTCCCGGCAAATATTAGACGCTGCTGGTCCCGCCTTGACATTGTCAATGGTGTCGGGCCAGCCAGGGCCTAGATCCGCCCCCCCTTTAAAGCTTTCATGTGCAGATGTGCTGGCTACTTGGTATCGGGTGTGTTGACTTTTTTCCTACCTAACAAGTCTTTGAGTCAGGTCACTGTGGAAAATATCATTATGAAGCAGCTCATCTTCTTTATAGGATGTTTTGTAGTGATACTTTGTTGGGAATTGAGTCATCATCTACACCAGGTTCTCCTTCTACTAGCTTCTTCTGTTGATAAATTTGATTCATGTAGTGCTCCATAAGACGATTGTACATTTCCTAATGTGCCTACCAGACCATCTTAGACTTAATATTGTATTACTCATATGTTTAAGTAGCATCTCTGTGGTGTGTACATGTTCCATACAAAGAGGTTTTCATTTGCACCTCCAAAAGGATTAGCAGTCGCAGAAAAAGATTCAAGCAGGTCACTTCTTACCACACTAGAGGGGAGCAGACCAAGATCTCTTTGTCAACATCTTGCATGTCTTGACTTATGCGTGGTAAGTGAGAGTAATGTTGATACATGGCGACGAGCTGCATTATTGGAATTGACTGGCAGGACTTATAGAAAAGTAATAGCCGTATGCTTGAGGCTATTGGAACAATTCACCATAAATTTGTCTAGAGGTCTACAAAACACTTCAATGGATAATAACCCGTCGCAGTTGTCTGATCCATTGTGCTCACTAGCCAAACAGTTTGAAGAATTGGAAATCTATGAATCATTTTATGATTCCCAGGTACGAGTCAATAATTCAATGATCCAGTCAACTAGTTTCGGAAATGATAAACTATGCATATGATTCCTAGTTCTTTCTCTAAGGAATTATGTTTATGTTATTCAAAATGAAAAACGTTTAGCAACTAATTAAAGACTTGTGAGTAGATCATATTTCTACATTTCTTTGGCGTCTTCTAGTCATATTTGGCAGGCACATACTTTAACAAGTGGCATATAAGAGGGTTTATTATGCTGCAACATGTATTTTAACTCGTTAACATCTGAAATAGTTTCTTAAGCTACCAATTAGAGGGGTCTAGAACTGGCCCATTTGGTGATTGTCATGTTTCCCAACCTTTTTGAGAAGGAAATGATGTAACAAAACAGGGGGCTTATTCGCATCCTTGTTTGCATGTGCATTATCTAACATTGAGATGCTTATTACGTTGCCAACTATAAGCAGCTCTGTTCGTGGTCACATCATAATCACAAAATTTAAACAAGTTTATGAGACACAAGAATTGAGAAATATTTTAGAACTCCACATATCGTATATGTAGCTTCTGCATGTGTGTGTTAACCATTCTCAAATCCACCGAAGCTACTCAAATCACGCCAGGGGCGGACCCAGACCATTTGTCTTGTGGGGTAAAAAATGAGAATTCTATTTAGAACTACATATCATTAACGAAAATATACATCTAGGTAGCATGTTATAATAGAGATTGTGGTCCGGGGCGGACCCAGATCATTTGTCTTGTGGGGTCAAAAATGAGAATTCAACAATGTTTAGAACTACATATCATTAACGAAAATAAGTCAATACGATATTACAGCTGTACGCGTTTTCATACTCTGAAAACATCGTATAAAATTCAAACGAAACAATATTTTCCCAAAAAAGATAAAAAAAAATAAAATAAAAAAATTAGATACTCTTTTAAATGTTGAAAACAAAAACAAAACTTCAAAATGCATCTATCTCTGTCTATGCCAGCATACAGAATTGCAATTTGTGAGCTCAAACTATGCAATGAGTCGTTGAAAAAGTTTAAGAACTGAAAACCTTTACCTAAGTGATGTTTTGCCACTGAAAACCCAACTGAAACTCCCATTTCTTAAATGATCTTTAGGTTCAAATTAGCTAGAATATAATCAAAATTTGCAATAAACTTTGCAACATCACGAATTATAAGAAAACATGAAATATGACCCGACTGGAAGTTCCCATTTCAAAAATCAAGTCCTTAAAGTCATCAATTTTCAAGCTGATAGTTAAATATAAGCAAGCATACCAATTTGGGATCGGCTGGATAAATACAAAGACAATACTTGTCAGCATTTTCATTTGCAATCCTCTAGGATTTCAAATTAAAAAAAAATAGTCACAGTCACAGATTAGGGTTGATAAATCAGCATTTTCATTTGCAATTGTGCTTGATAAATAGCAAGGTTCCTATCCATAAACTATTTGCAGATTTGCTGTCAAAACAATTGGATGAAATTGGCATAGAGAATTGATAACACACCTATAAGGGAGAATAGCGGACTTCGGCATATGGCGGACTAATTGAAGAAGAACGGGGCGGGCTTCGGCGGATGGCGGACGCCGTCAACGGTAAACGGTTTCGATCAGGGACTCGGGCGAATTCTGCTTGGAAGAAAATCAGAAATCGTGTGCACAGGTATAGCCTTATAGGGTTTGGGAATTGGGTTTAATTATCTAAATAACAAATTGGGTTTGGGCCTGAGCAAATGGGCTACTGGGTTGGAGGGTTTTCAAATGGGCTAAGTGTTAGGTTAAAAACAAAAAGAAAAAAAACTCAAAAAAAAAAAAAAAAAA